TATCCTAGATATATGTCTGAGCGCGAACGCGGTGGCGGGAGGGCGCACATGATTCGGTTGCCAGTGAGTTTATCAGAAGAATACCCGGCTACAGTACACGTCAGTTGAGCGCTGTCGCTCTGCGGCACTTGTTATTCACTTCTGATGTTATGGTACTAGTAAAATGGGCCCACCCTAGCACCGCTTGCCTTTGGCACGCCTTCACTTGAATATCAATCCCCCCCCCACCTCCTGAAAGCTAGATCCGGCCCTGACATCTAACCTATGAATAGAGGCCAGCCCATTAATTACATATGATAATTTCTGCACTCGACAGGAGGCTGGCAGTAAGCAGCACAGAAGTGGAAGATGAGGATGCTGACGTGGCAGCAGAGAGGAAGCGTGTGCTGCAGGGAGCAGCAGACTTTGTGCGTGTGGAGAACCTCACTAAGGAATACTCCACACACAAGCTAGGCAAGCTGCTAGCTGTTGATAAACTCTGCTTCGGTGTGCCACAAGGAGAGGTATGTTACACTACATACTTAATTCATATTATGTTTGATTTTACTTCAATCCATTTTATTTTATGTTGTTTTATTGTTCACATCTTTATTTTTTAATAATTTGATTATTAATGTTTATAAAATTTTCAATAATCAATAAATGATTTACCTTACATTCATTGTTTTAATTTTGTTAGATTTGAATTAATTTTATATTAAATTTCTGTCAGAAAAAACCTTTTGAGATTGTTGCAGTTGGTTGTCTGGTCAGTATGATAGTTAGTTCATGCATGTTGTTATAACTGCATCAGGCCAGCATAATCACAAGATCTGATTAAAGATCTTTGCAAGTGGTGTTATGTATGAACAGTGTGTATGAACAGTGGTTTATTGTGTACCTTACAGTGCTTTGGGCTTCTTGGAGTGAATGGTGCGGGTAAGACAACTACCTTTAAAATGTTGACAGGAGATACATCAATAACAGGAGGCGATGCATTCCTTAATAACAAAAGGTCTGTATGTACAATCTAACAAACATCAGGCTCGCTGCGCTGCCATTTTAAACTCTATCGATTTTTCACTATTCTGAATCTGATGGCGTTGTCTGAGGAACCATTGTATACAATGATGTTATATGCAACATTTAAACTTTTTAGGGGCCTAACTGAGTGACATGCATCATGTGCATAATTGACCATGTGTAAGGCTATGTTTAGGAACCGTTGTCCATGCAGAGTGTTATCACACTCATATAACAGAATTTTAAGCACTATATAAATACTAGATCTAATTATTAATAGTAATTATAGTATGGTACAATATAATTTCACAAACTCGCACGTGTGTGATTATATATCTTTCTTGTTTCAGCATCATGACAGATGCACGGCTGGTGCAGCAGAGTACTGGGTACTGCCCACAGTTCGACGCTCTCTACGATGAGCTTACCCCTAGGGAACATCTCACACTGTACGCACGGTTTCGTGGTGTTCCCTTCCACTACGAGAAACAGGTACGTAAAGCTGTGGTAACAGTCGCCAGGGTATTTTATTGCGTTGAATCGGATAGTAAATGGTGGGCCAAATAAACCACTCTGCATTTCCAATTCCCTCCATGTATAAAATGTGTTGGTGTCAATACCCATTACCCATTGCTCTTTACAATTGCTCAATTTTTTAGCTCATCTGACGTAGTCAGATGCAGCTTGTAGAATCGCATGATTGTCCGTGCGTGCGTCCGTGCGTGCGTCTGTCCGTCCGTCAACAGTTGTGCACAAATCTTAACCGCTCGACGTACGGTCACGATATTTGGGACGTCGGGGGGATCGTGAAAAGGACTCGGGATGACAAATTTGGGGGGTCAAGGGTCAAAGGTCAAGATGTGTAAATGGAGGGGGAATATTTCCCTCTTAACTTAAGGTATAGGAAGAAATACGGAATTGCGGCACAAATCTTAACGGCTCGACCTATGCGCTTAATATTCGGTGTATAGTGTGATGGGCAGGAAACCCATCACCAGTGCGAAATTCGAGGTCACGGGTCAAAGGGCAGTGGGGGAAAGGTCAGATATCAGACATTTTCTGAGGACATGGCTATAGTGTTGTAAGCTCTTGCCTCTGAACACTCAAGTAAACACGTCTGTTTCTGTTCATCACACAGGCTCAAAGACCCCGTATGTTTTATTACCACCGTGCCGTGTTGCATATACAATAGTGTCATAGATCACGTGTTCGTAAACGAATACAGAAAGTAAAGCATAACATACTAACTACACTATAATGGCCTAATAGCCAGAGTGAAAAACTCTTTTGTTTTACGCTGACCTACCATTTTTATCACTTTATTGAAAGGACCATGAAATGTGCTTTCCACTGACGTGCGAAGAGTAAGTGTCTGATAACCTTTTGACCCTCAAGAGGAGGGTTAAACATGGATTCCTGAACTGCCTCAATGATGTCACAGTGTTCTCATATTCATGGCACATCTATAATCTAGAAAGCCAATATGTCTGGATAGCCCAACGGTTACAGCATATAATTACGGCTCAAAGGTCCTTGTATCGAATCCCATCAGATTTTTTATTATTTACCTGTTTTCTGTATTTTTCTATCTTTATCCATTTAACTATTTTTTTCCAATTAACGCATATATTTACATGATTTATTTACAACAATTTAATAACAACAAATAATTTTTACAATTAAATTGTTTTGTTTTTTAAAATATGGTTAGCGTTAGGGTCGCAATGCACCATAAAACAGGAGTTTCAGGCACGCGATTTGTATCAACCAATGGGATTCGGGAGGTATGCAGAATGCAGAAGGTTGCTGAAATTATGTGTACGCAACTGCGTATCTGCATATCTGCGCCTAACAAAGGTGTCACTACGCACGACTTAAATGTTACGTTTATAACCGTAGCAACAGACCTCAGATGAGCCCAGATGCTCTTGCGGCTCTCGTTTAATGCAAAATATCGCCAAATTCATTTATTACACGAACCTTGGTTGTTTGTCTTGCCTTCCGATAAACGTCACCAATTAACCACTAAATGGACATAGGCAGCATATCTAGCTCTGTTAATTTGCATCCAAATTCGATTTGCTATATCATTTTTCTGACTTCTAGTAAATAATGATCACTGCTGCGGTAACTGTTATGTTATTGGTTAAAGAATGCGTTTGCAACTGTATGTTTTTATCGTTCATAGATGGTTGATTGGTCACTAAGGAAACTTGCTCTAACGCTGTATGCAGACAAGACATCAGGAACTCTAAGTGGGGGAAATAGGCGAAAGCTTTCCACAGCTATTGCTCTTGCGGGCAATCCTGTCGTGTTATTTCTGGTAGGTGGCGTCATGTTATAGTCGTATCAACATCGTACGTGATACCCGTTCCACTTATTAACAGTTGTGATCTATTGGAGAATTATTTTCAGAAAATTTATATATATCATCCACCAGCTTGTTACTCATTACTGCCGTTTTGCCGAATTACTCATATCTGTTTCTCTGATGTATTTCTTATACCTTTACTAACTTGTATTCTTCTGCTATCACTTTTTGTGAACGCCTGCATTCATCTGCACATTTGTCTCTCTTGTCATTTATCTATGTCATTTTACTGACATTTATGACCATGTTACTGTGAGTACTAGAGTAGATAGAGCTTCTTGTTGATTAGGATGAACCAACCACTGGTATGGATCCACATTCCAGAAGATTTCTTTGGGATCTCATACGGGGTTTGATCAAGGAGGGTTGCTCGGTTATTCTGACATCACACAGGTATGTTTAAAGACTGTTAATGCTATATAGCATGAATTTCAGGAATTTTTAAAAAGTAATATTCAGAAAGGCACAGATGGTAAGAAAGGGAGTTCCAAATATAAACCAATGCAACAGTGAATGAGGGTATTCCTAATTTTCTTTAATTTCATGTATGATGTTTTATTACTGTCTGATTGTGTGTATTTCAGCATGGAGGAGTGTGAGGCGCTCTGCACTAGGTTGGCCGTCATGGTCAATGGCAAGATGAAGTGTCTAGGCTCCACACAGCACTTAAAAAACAGGTAATATGGTAACTACGCAACTTTTCATATGAGCGTGTAAAATATGAACAATATTATGGGGCGTACATGATTTATGCAGTGTTTCATGTTAATATTTTCATGTGTAATTATGTAAGTAAAATTGTGTAATGTCTGCACTAATTGTCGTTTTTGTAATATTGCTGAAGTTTATATGTTCTATTTATGTTTAACATAACCATGATAATATGTGCACGTCAATTTTTATGTGTATTTTGGTCGAAACGTTTTGTAATTTGATTAGTATATGGGCACATGACATCCTGATTGTGTGAAATACGATATCATATCATGTTTCTTTTATTTTTTCTGTAATTTCTTCCATGTCTGCAGGTTTGGTGATGGGTACACAATACAAGTAAGAGCCAAGGGTTCGCAGCCAAACCTAGATCCTATCATAAGACATCTCGCACACCATGTGCCGAAGGCAACTTTGGAGGTAAATTGTATTTTAATTACAGTATGAATAAGAGCTAGAAAATATCTGTTAACTACAATGTATTACTGCAGTCTTACTACCGTCAAACCTCTGTTAGGGGACTGATCCATTAGACAGATAGCTATTTATAAAAGATGGTTCTTTGGGGTTCACTGTAGGAGGCAGTTTTATAATGAAAGCACCTCTATAGAACGAACCTCTATAGAGGACAGTATTGGGGTTAAGTGACTGTTATAATACAGGTATGACTATATTACCTGTCGCATGCTTATCGTGTCTAACTGAGCTGGCAATTGGTCGGTAGGAGCGACATCACAACACGCTGCAGTATGAAATGAAGCCAGACCACATCTCACTGGCTAGCATATTCACGGCGATGGAGAACCTTCCGGCATCTCTCAACATCGAGGATTACTCTGTCTCACAGAAAACCCTCGACAACGTAGGTTTTCCTCAGAATAATGTCCTTGAACTTGCTATCATAATTTTCATTGGCTAAGGGTGCCTGTCAATCACTGCGAGTCTTGTAGGTTAATTGTGTATTTGTGTGTGAGTACGAACGTGAATGTAGCATGTTGTTGTGGTTAGGAGCTGGTCATGGCAGCTATGAATAATATCATGCAATCACTTAGTTCCATGCTATGCCTTTACTATACTCGGCAATGCAAAAAATAGAACTGCTCTCTGATTTTCAATACAAAAATAACACGTGCCAAACTGCATTATCGTTGAAATCTAGTCTATGATATCAAGAGAATTTTGGAGGCATGTCATTTGCTGGTGTCCAGTGTGGTGTCAGTGATCGTTGTAATTTGCAAACGAATAAATAACAAAATACACAAAATATGTGTGTGAAGAACCCGCATACATATGTGATTATATTTAGTTCATCGTAATTATGAATTGTCCTTGATGTTTTAGGTGTTCATAAAGTTTGTGAAGCAGCAGACAGAGTTTAGTAACTTAGGTAACAGCAGTACAGGCCTAAACTTGGATAGTGACTCTGATGATTCACTTCTAGATCTACACAGCAGTCAAGACTCGGTAAGTGAAAAGGCTTATATTATTACAGCAGAAGTCCAAAAATCCGTGTGCCAGAAATCCGGACCACCCGAGAACCCGGACTTTTCGAAAACTCTCAAACTTTTTTTAATTTAGCAGGCCTGTGTGTGTGTGTGTGCATGCATGCATGAGCACTGTGTGGCTCATATTGATTCGATCAACACAATTGATATAATTCACGCAATCAACGTGCTTAGCAACTCTCTATTATGTACTCTTGATAAGTATATATATAGACTTGATCAGAAAAATAGCTATTACTACATTTTTGCAACAATTAGCAACACAGCCACGCATGAATGTCCACGTGCATGCTCCCTCACCCGTTCACACATGCACGCACTGATGTGCACACACATGCGCTCGGATGCAGGCACACACGTCCCACCAACACGTACACGTGCAGGCACGTGGTGCAGTGAAAACGTTAGAAGAGTTCAAATGTTAAATGATTCACAAACTATCGTTGTTCAGAATACATCTAGTTCATCTACAATTCGGCTAACGATAGTGGGGTGCAGCATGCGGTGGAAAATAAGTTATAGCTTGTCATCAACAAACGAAATCAACCATGGTGACAGTCTTATGCAGTGATAATTGTTTTGTTCCAGCAACTTAGACTGGCCTTCATGGAAACACCGGATTGTTAACCAGCATCCACACGTTGTTAGCACAGATACAACGACTACGCAAGAACCTTCGCTATTGATAGTCATGACTCACCATTCTTCTGTACCTGTGCAGGGTTTAAGCTGTTGTTCACTATGGGTTGTGTTTGAGTTTGGCGAAAAATTGTCGTCATAAATTCGCCAAAATGCTAAAGCGTAATTCGTGGGCCACTCGAATTCCACCCGAGATCACTACTTGCTAACCCGAAGCATGAGGTACACTGTGTGTGGTCATTGTTTACTCGGTACCGAAACCTTTCCGTTAAAGACCAAAGATTATCAAAGTGGCCATCGATACACACGACTATATATAGTTAGTAGAATTTGATTAAACATTTTCAGAATAAATTGGCCAAATTGCTAACAATTTTTTTGGTCCAGCTTAAACCCTGCCTGTGGTCTTGTATTTATTTTTTGTCTGTTGCATGATGATGTTTATGACCCATGCATCGCAGTTACTATGCATATTCATTCATTCCAGTTTGACTGCACATGACGTGTTGATTCATACAATGCCCTAGTCAGGCTTCTGGTCAATAGGTTCAATCATAGTTCGAATTGTGTGGTGGGGGAACAGTTGATTGATGAACCAGTAGTATACTTCATCTACCTGTGGATTTTATAACTTACATGCTATCGTGTTTTGTCAATGGAAGCAAATCACATGTCCCTGTTTCTTATACACATACAGATGAGATTTGCTGGTGTTTAGTGCAAAGTATCCAATATTAGGAACTATATTTACAGATAAATCACATATTTTCCACTTCTAGATTAGATCGATAGAGTCATGTTATTGGAGATCTTCAGTATTGGGAGAGGAGAAGTCTAGATGATGTCAGTGTTTTATCTGTAGAAGCACAAACATTAGTTTTACATATTGTCAACTAAGAAGCTGTTTTTCAATTACTGGGCTGGGTATGTCGCCATGACTTGGTATGTCATTAATTGCAAAGAAAACGATGCATTTCAAATTAAACCGGCGATACAGTAATAACACCGCACTATGTAAATAATGCATTTTTTTAAATCTATATCATGAATCACACGTTCTCGCTGACTTCCATTTTAATATTGGAGATACGGTCCTGTTGAAAATCTTGCAGCTAAAAGATCTTCTAGAAAGACAGTTATTAATGCAAGTTCTCTGAAGTTCCTGACTGATGAACTGAAAGAACTCATATTTATTTTGACTATCTTTGAGGAATGTCTGCCATTCGGCACCTTTTGGCATAGGTATCTTGGCTGAGATTCGTGTTCGGCGCGCTGCAGTTTCACCCCGCTTGGCACGAGTTTGTGACTTCAGACTAGTCTCTGTATATGTGTCCCATACTGCGTCCACTCTCGTCGTGCTGTCCGTCATCTGGCTTTGCAAGTATGGGAGCAATTGCATCTGTGTGTAGTCTCCAAACACTCTCTCTGGCAGGCACGCTGGGGTTTAATGATGTATATTACTGCCGCCATGTCGAGAACAAGCACAGACGCCCCTTTGGCTGCTTGAGAGTGACCAGGAGCAGGCATGCCTGGTAGACAGCCAAGTATATCCGACTTTGTTCCACACCGTAGCTTGCCTCGATCGGATAAGGACATAGGTTCACACTGATTTTCGTGCTTGAATAATTCGTCTATGTTTGCATCACGACGTGCCTGTAGGGACATAAACATTTGATTAACAGGTAGTCTCTCACTGTTGTCCAGTAGCAGATTGTTGGAGCATTGCTGATGAGTCTCTTCTCCCACATCTCCATAGATTCATGAGGCCCATAGCCCTCGCGGCAGAATTCATCATATGCCTGCGCTTTGAGTACATGGAGCCAAGCAATAGTGAGCTGGTACGCATAACGTGTACGCTTGACATGCTTGCCAGCTAGAAGAGATGCTGCAATGCCAGTAGTGAATACATTTGCCAGGGAGAATATTTGGTTCCAGCCGGATCCGGCCAATAGCTTACCCCACAATCTTGTGACGTCATCTCGACATGGAGCATGCCCATGAAACACACCATCATTGATTCACCGACCTGATCAGGGTACCTCCACTGACATTTTTTCTGTTGGGCATAGAGAGGGCAGTCACCTATGACTGCCACCTGGCCAGGATTCACAAACTCTATTGCCCTCTTGACCACAAACATTGAGTGTTTCTGCATGGCCATTGATGAAGCCTTTTCATAGAAGATGGGAAAAACTCCAACTGTGGCCCTTGGCTTGATATCTTCTGTGTGTTGGCCATGGGATAAGAAACCAGAGTAGGTCACTGGCGTTTCTTGAAGCTTGCTGTCTTTTTCTGTCATGACCTTGTGGACATGGCTGAGCCACGCTTCATCAGGCTCCCCTGCTCGGAGATTTTCAGCAAAAGCTGGCCTGGCTGTTCCTTCTAGAATTGATGAAAGGGTGATATCTCCAGCATGTTCATCAATGTATGGCACAATCGCAAAGTCATCAGGAAGGTGGATAGTGGCACCCACGGGCGCATCCAGCGTGAGAGGTGGACGGTCCACACCCATGTTGTCACGAGTATGATGGTTGGTTAGGGATATGGCAGTGCCATGAAGCTCAGTACGACCAGATTCATCGATATTATCAACTCCGCCAGTAGTGAAGACTCCCCGCTTGATGTTAGAAGGTACAACAACTCCATCTTCAGCAAACCGCATTGACACAGCAAGGGCGAGTCTCTTCCTGACATCCATGACACGGTCATAAGACACCGACATGCCCAATACATGAAACGTGTTAATGCTGTCTCTCTTGCGATTATTTGCATGCAGTTTCAGTCCGACATAGAGTGGAAAGGGTGTTTCTCTCTCCTTCCTCAGGTATAGAGTGAGAGCATTGCTGGATTGCTTTGTTGCGTTGCTGCATATCAGCTGAGAGATGGTACAGGCGACTCTGAACTTGGCATTTATGCTGCCATGATCCTCGTGCTCCTCTATAGAACTCGAACATTGGAGTAGAATGCCTAGAAGGCTAAGAAGAGGTTTGGCAACTGGCTCACTCAAACAGCTTGAATTGAATGAGCCATTGAAATGCATCTGTTGGAGGAAGATGTATCTTCACAGCATGATACCCACTTCAACTATTTTCTTAGCCTCTTCAGTCACCATATGATGAGCAGTCTGTGCCAAAGCTGCACCAACTGTTTGCTTTGAGACATGTAAATATCACGACCCTCAGAGTATTCAGACCAATCGGGTCCTAGCTTCTCTATAAGGTGCTCTTTGAACCTTGTTTGGTGCACATACACCCCAATCCAATCAGAGCCCAGTTGCTCGAGACGACGATCATAAAGCCTCTTTAAGTCCACAAGCTTAAAGGCAGCCGAATGCTTTAACTGCATGAATGCTACAAGCTGAGCAATTACCAAGGTATCATGAGTGTAAAGGGTGGTAGAACTTTTTTCTGCATTTTGTGACTTGGACCTGGCTGCACGGGCATCATTCTTCAGCTTTGTATAACAGGATGCGTGATAATGCACATCTCCAGCCGCTGCATCCTCTGCATTTATTGCGTTCAACGGTGCATGAACCACGCAGTTCTTGGATTCTGCAGCCCATTTGTAGAGGTTCTTGCTACAGTTATCACTCCTAGCTGTGTAGATTTGTTCATCACTATCATCTTGAAACTTCTCACAGCAGACACTGCAGGTTTTTGCGATCAAGGCTTGCATTAAAACTTGATCGGGTTCTTTTCGGACTTAAAGTGGCCTCTTCATTCTCAGACTCTTCCCTTGCTTTCTTCTGATCCAGTGCTCACTGCACAATATATGAGCGGAAGTGTCCTTGACATCCATTATGATACTTTGCTTTATTTTTCAGCAATGTGTTGGCAATCCCTGAACCATCATGTAAACATGCCAAGTTCACTCCAAGAGGTAAAGGGACAGCACTTTCAACAAATGTGTTCAAATCTCACTCAAGAGTGTTATATGCCTTGTGAAAACACTCCTTTTTATATGGACATCACAAATCTTTGCTGTTAGAATTGTCCTGGCACAAGCAACACAATGTGCAATCAGTGTCCTTCCTTGTGATCAAAAGGATGTTCGTCACTCATGATGAAAACGATTGTTCAATAGCCAGGGTTCTTCGCATCATGAGTCGAGGGAGATCTGATGTTGATGGTGTATGTTCAAATTGACCATACGGGCAAGCAAGCGTTTTTTATTAAATGTCTAGACATAATGATATTTTTTAGTTACACTTAGATTCGAATGCATAGTGAACAATGCATGAAAGCAAACAATGCAAATGAAACAATCAGAAAAAATGGGCATGAAAATGTAGTGCTATAAATGCGTAAATGTATAAATCCTAATTTATACATGCTGATCTACGGTAGTACCAGAGTTATGGCCCTATTTGACTGAAAATCACATTGAATATAGCTTTTGACCTTGAGAATGATGTTGAAAAATATAAATTAGTTCAGAAATGGATTCCTCGCCCCAGAAAACATGGAAAAAGTGGTATTACTGAAGGATCTAGTGCTAACAGGAGCTGAGATATGACATTTTCTATTTCCAAAGGCGGCCATATACGAATTTGTGCATAGTGGCCACCAGGGGGACACAAAAAAGTGTATGCGGTTGTTTTTGAAAACCTTATGTCCGTACCTAAAGCCCGACCACACGTGAGTTATTTTACTCAAGTAAAATGATGCATGCGTCAAATTACTCAACGAAAATCCGCCGCACACGTGAGTAAAATGACGCATGCGTCAAATTACTCAACGAAAATCCGCCGCACACGTGAGTAAAATGACTCGTGCGTCATTTTACTTGAGTAAAATAACTCACGTGTGCGCCGGGCTTAACAGCATGCCAAATTTCAAAGACTTGTCACAAAGTGCACAATCTTTATCAATTTGGACCAAATCCCTCCCTGCTATAGCTGAAACCAATCAGCGTTGCAACAGGGCGTGCTAAAAACAACGTGAAGTGTTCAACACAACAACGTAAACTACACTTGCCGTAAAATACAATTTTGGTCTGCACAGAAGCTGAGAGGGGCTATGTCCCCCAGGGTAATGCCGGAACGTACCCTGGTACTATCTAATATGCCGGACCGTACCACGCCTACTCCACTAACGCGTCTAAGGGAGTTGCCTACGCCTACTCCCTAACCCTAACCCTAACCATAACCCTAGCCCTAACCCTAACCATATCAGATAGTTACCAGGGTACGTTCCGATATATCGAACCATACCCAGGTTACCCTCCGATAGTACTCTGGGGGACATAGACCCTATGAGCTGCACTGAACACCAAAAACAACAACTTGGTTACCTTGACCGACCTAGCATCAATGTCTAAGACGGGGCGTGAGTTTCTCGATTCGCCTAACAGGGTATTCGCCATGTCACATAGATGTTCCCCTAGTAGAGGTTTCCTATTTATACTTCAGTAACATTTACTTATTTTGGTGGTGTTGTGTTTTTAATTGTGTTATATGTAATCTCGTGTTTACAGGGAGGGTATTCTCTTTTTATCGTAGCGTGTCAGGGGCGTAGCCAGGGGTGATTCCAGGCATTCCGAAATCCCCCGTGGTTTGTATCAAAATAGCACATATCTGATACAGTATGTATATAAAAGCATGAAACGAAAATTTTAACGAAGTTTTATTAGTATATAGTAGGTTTGGAATCCCCCTCTTGGAAGGAATCCCCCCCCCTCTTGGAAAGGCTGGCTACGCCCCTGCATGTTGACGTGAAGTATTCATGCCTACTCTTTTCTAGTCTGTAGTGTATATCCAGTTGTTATACTAGTCCGTTGTTCTCGTATTTTGTTCGATAAAATTTTGTTGGGCTTTTGTACCGAAGAGCCGACTTAAGCGCCATTCATCATTTAACCATTAGCATAATAACCATGCATGTTTACAATGATACGGGGGATTCAGATGTAGTATTACATCATTTATTTACGTTGTGTATAATGCTAATTTCTTACTCAACACTTTATGGGATACTATAATAGTATATGAGAACTAAACCAGTCAAATAAGATACCGGGAGAACATCATTTATGATATGCTCCTGATGATATATTAAATCACATTCATAGATCTACATTCTCGATAATAAATGTACATTTGAAATTATAATCTATTTTGAGTAACTTTGACGCAAATAAAAATGAGTGGGAAAATATGTCATCCACAGTTTGTGGAAAACTGCCTACGCAAATGTGCATCTAAATATACAAATCGCTGATCTCCGACATGCGTGCTAATGTAAGTATAATCATCAGGCCCGTAATGCCAGGAGTGAATAAAAATATTATTTTATTTTATTCATTCTTGGTAATATAGGCCTACTATGTATAGGTTTGTCCGTTTTCCAACTGTGATCTCTTTCATGAATAAACTTCATTTGAATCATTATCGTATGTTTTTTTTTGTCGTTGCCTTGTACTATACTTGACTGAATGAAAGATTATCGGAAAATGTCATTTAATGTTATTGAGGATTTTTCAATCCAGAAATCGCGAAAGGTACTGACGTAATTGTAATTTCTTGTTTAACATGTGATGATAAAAAACATGGAAGAAAACTATCATTTTTATCGTCCAAATAAATAGGCGTTCAGAAGGGTTTTAATGTACATTTTACTTTTCGTAAGCTCTGTTGAATCATCTCGCTACAGTTCTACATATGCAACCTTCCCACGCGCGCGAATATTACGATACCGCGAATATGCACGATACCGCATATTACATCTATATATAATAATACGACCCTGTAATTATCATATATCACAACAATCAAAGAACATATAGTAATGACAAGTTTATTACTGATTACTTTTTGTATTGAAGCGAATAAATATTATTAATACATTATTATGCACAATAAAAATGATGGTATACATAAAAAACATAATAGAATAGAACTTCTATTGTTAATATCACTGTCTAGCCCTCATAGTTAACGCTGAAGCATTTACATAATTTAACCTGACAGATATTCATTAACGCCTGCCCCATTCCTATATTCAACTCAGTGAAACCGAGAAAATATCATAAGCTCTCTCTGTCGATCCACTTTTGGTTGTAATGTACAAATAAACTCATACAATGTATACACACTGTCTAATAACCCCAATATTGACGGAAAGCACTAACTTGAGCAGCTTGATTGAATTTTTGGTTCAATATACTAACACTTTTCGATAACATTGTGGAATATTCATACATACTATAATATTTTTATCATCACATAGACCACTACACGTCTTGAAACTCGCTCAACATTCAGCAAATATTTGCGATATCTTCATGACATCACTACCAGGATAACCCCTCGTAAGGTTTGGATATTTCTAGAGAAACAACAAAGTCTAAACGCGATGTTACGTAACGTTACGTAATGTATGTAATCAAGTTGTGATTTGATACGAGACAGGCGCATGTTAGACGATGTAACGTAGGTATAACACCCCATAACCTTCGTCCATGAACTGTCCCATGCTTTTTCCCATCGTGGTCGACTGTGGTCACGCGCCTGCTACTTCCTTTGGACACTTGATCCCCGTTCATGTTTACACACAGGCCCTTGAGTCGTTCATGGTAAAGCGATATGTGTATTATTTATTATTACGCGCATTGCATTATGATCATACTCTCCTCACGACGCTCTAACACATAGCAACCACAGATATACCTTAAACAAACGACGCGTTATTATTTACAGAAAAGCCGACAGGACGTTAATTTACTCACTACCACTAACCAGCGTATAGTCAACATACATGGAGAGAGGATTCGTCTAAGCAGTTGACAGTTCATCTTGGCTTACATCAAACCGCACCTTTACAATTTAAGACGTTATGCATTCACTACGAAATCTTAAGCAATGGTGTAGTGAATGTCTCGTAGTGCACTCGCGCAATAAATATTGGCATTGACAGCAAATTGCAGAACTATTTAATCACCAATACGAAACTAACAGTATTGTGTGTGTGCCCATAATACTATTTAATTTTAGTATTGTGGCTTCTTGATGATACCATGAACAGATTCTGACTCTGGTTAATTATCAAACACGGAAAGTTTTGAAATAATAATTAAAGAACTGTCTGTTAAAATGAAATGTGTATAAACTCCTAGTAATCATACATAAATACATAAATGGGATTCTACAATATAAGCACTGCGGAAAAGCTAATGCCTTCGCTTGGGCAGAAGAATGAGATTTCATCATGAGATTATCAAATGACTGCATTAATAAGAAAGTACAATAAGCGCGAACTACATAAGAATATATCACACAACAGCAATAATCTGTCGAGGAATATTGGCACATGCACGAACACACAAGTGCGTGCACGGACACATGTATATTTATATTATAGTGCTATTAAATGGATAAATTATATTTAATCTACAAAGATAAAATGCGAAACGTTTGTAAAAAACGTGATAGACATGAGAAAACCCAATTTGTTGATCCCTATACCCTACTATTCACATACGCATTAAGAGAAGAGGACTATTGACAATAAACAACCATACCAAAACTTTACTTTGTTCTTAGTAAACTAACCATGTCAAGATACCATCGTTAGCTAGCTATAGTTAGCTAGCCATTGCTGGCTACCAGATTCTTATTGTTAGCTAACCAGGTTCAATTAATCATTGATAGTTAACCAGGTTCTGTTAACCATTGTTAGCTAACCAGGTTCTGTTAACCATTAATAGCTAACCAGGGTCTGTTCAACATTGTTAGCTTGCCAGGTTCCGTTTACCATTGTTAGCTAGCCGGGTTCCATTACACATTGTTAGCTAACCAGGTTTAGATAATCATTGTTGGTTAACCAGGTTTAGTTAACCATTGTTAGCTAACCAGGTTTAGTTACCCATTGTGAGTTAACAAGGTTCCATTAACCATTGTTAGCTAGCCAGGTTACATTACCCATTGTTAGCTAACCAGGTTCTGTTAACCATTGTTAGCTAACCATTGTCAGCTAACCAAGTTCTGTTAACCATTGTTAGCTAACCAGGTTCTATAACCATTAATAGCTAACCAGGGTCTGTTAAACATTGTTAGCTAGCCAGGTTCCATTAACCATTGTTAGCTAGCCAGGTTCCATTAACCATTGTTAGCTAGCCGGGTTCCGTTACACATTGTTAGCTAACCAGGTTTAGATAATCATTGTTGGTTAACCAGGTTCAATTAACCACAATATGCTAAACTTAGTAAACTGGCAATGGCAAATTAATTATATTGTAAGATAACCGTGGTTAACTAATTATATTAAGCTAATTATAATAAGACAATAATGTACCATGGGCATAATTACCTAACCATGGCAACAAAACCAACCTATATTTAAATTATCTGTATTCAGCAGTTTTGTATATAACTATAAATTAGTGTGCATCCAGAGCAAGTAACTTGGCGCTGCTTCGACAAGATATGATTTCTATTGGCTATCAGGGTCAGCACTGTATCTCACACAACGTGCCATATCTTCCATGCCCAACAGAAATACATAAATTTCCTAAATCATGTTGGGTATTGTCTCTACACATATTATTGTAAACTTCACAACACACGCATATACACATGCAAGCACGCACACATACAGACACGGACACATATATACAGCGAGACAAATACTAGGCGTTGCAAATAAAATTACCTAGATCAGCAAATTTATTGGCATACGAGATTCTACAAAGTTCCACATACTAGCCACTAGGTGGCGACTCACACGCACAGCAGCATCACGTAAGCAATGTACACAACCCAATGCAACGCACATTCATTCGCCTATTACACAATCAATTAGATGGCTGATCTAATGACGGAGTGATCAGCATCAAACAGTATAGCGCTGCTTGCGAATTTTAATAGCGGGGGTTATAAAAAAATAACCCCCGAATGTTATGGGTTGGTGTTATATAAAGGGACGTAAAAAGTTGAGATATTTCTATGACTGATGATTGACATTTATATTACCATGAGCATATTTACACACTTATATACACTCAGATAACCTTCTGCTTTAGCCCAAAAATATGGCAATGCCAGATGAGTAATTGATTTTATACAAGTGATAGTTTTTTTAGCTATTACTTCTACCACGTCACTATGACAGCGTTTATCGTGTCAAAAATTCTTTAGATTTTGTTTTTCACATGGCAGCAGTGGAGGCAACAAGGTCAAATAACAAGGTGACTTGCCTGATTCTAACCACCCACAGTCTTCTCCTCTGCAACTCACCCTTGCCTCTCAGCTGTACCATAGTTTACCAAACACCCACAACTCTCCCAGTTCTCCAGCATTCCAGTTCCTAGCTCACGTTGACTTCTCTTATTCTGAATCATATATATATAATATATACCATTGACATCTCAGAATAAGAGGTCACTGCTTGCAGAGTCAGACCAAGTGATTTGTTCCTCCACAGGCTTAGCCCATGTTTCCTCATTCTGTTTCTCCTCCTCCTTCACTCGCTTTGGCAGGCTGATGATGATGTTGTTAGCTGTCTTTGGCTGTTCCTTGCCCAGCTCATAGTCCTGATGCAGCTTCGTCGGCAAGTAAGATGCAAGACCTGCCGGAGTGAATAAAAGTTTGACTATTTTTTTTTTTTTTTGGTTTGGGAGATAAAGCACGATCTCTGAGGTAATCTACAGTAAAACATGCATTAGAAGATATCTCTAAAAAACAGACGTTTATAGGACACTTTTGGCATTTACTTTGTGTAGCACTAATAAAGTAAAAAATATGCCTATAGAACAGCTACCTGTCTATAAAAGACAGTTTGGGCGGTTTCATTGAGTTGCCCTAGCATACAAGTTTGACTTTATTTTGTGGATAACCACCAAGACATGTTTAACGCAATAGGTCAGAAAACATGCCACTGTCACCTTATTTTCGCTAACACATTTATCCAAGAGGTTGTCATAGGGAACGTTGACAGTGAATATAAGTACGATAAACATGTTGCACCTCCGACACATCCTTACTGCAAATATGAATGTTTTTTGACAAATTACAGCTAATGCTGTACCCACAAATCCACGCCTTCTCTTGTTTACCCAGGTACGTGCAGTCTATCCGTATGCCAGAACTAGAAAGCTAACACCGTTGTCTGTGAGAGGTTTTCACACTTGACACAAGGAATTTTAGGTACCAACTCAGCCGTCAGAGACGGAAGAGCATGTGCACTGCCCTCTGCTTCTCACTCACACACGTCAGTAAGACAATAACGCCCCCATCTGCTGCTGCTACCACACTACAAGCTGTTCCTGGATTTTTAATGCAAGATGATATGACAATATTGACATTATCAGAAAGCTTTTCAACGCGTCAGGTCATCGAGAACCCAACACTTATATAAACCAATGTCATTCACATACTTCTGGTGTTCCGTGCGTACCATTAATTATATGTATAATCTTTGGCTAACGACATAATCGGCAGCGACTAATGGTAAATGATTGCAATTGCCAAGTGATGGACGATATTTACTGTTACTGCACCATGGGATATAATAATTGTGTCGCAGGATTTGCCTCGACGACAATATAGACGAACATAAATGTTCATTGACCACTGCCACATACTATCCGATAAACGTTCAATTAACATTACATCTTCACTTTACCATATCACGTTACCCTGGTAACTAATCAGTCTTCTACTGCTCCGTCCCCGTACATTATTTTCACGCGGAACTTATTATTAATGAGGAGGCTGTGGATATACCCTGCCGTGTCAGCAGCGAAGCCAGTGCCACATCACACCGCCACTTAACTCTCAATCCTGAATTTTTACTGAGCAAGATGAATGCAGATCGATAAAGGCGAGCGATTTACTGCATGACTGCTCCAAAAAGCGCATTGATTTTCCCTTCTCCCGGGACCAACTCGGCAACTACGTACGTGCAGCAGACGCACGCACGCGCACGAACACACGCACGCAAACATGCACAAACATACACATGCACGCAAACATGCACAAACATACACATGCACGCAGAGACACGCAAGCACGCACGCTGGCACGCAGGCACGCAGGCACGCAAACAATCACGCACACACACGCGCACGCACGCACGCACGCACGCAGTCTAGCTATTCAATAGTTAGTTCTATCGGTGTAGCCCCTTCGCTCCCACTCCATGTACTACGAACACACCTGTAGCAGGAGCGTGGGGGCTTCACCAGTAGAGCTATTCAATAGTGATCCGTGGTTGACATTAAACCGCCTTGATGACTCGATTCCACAGGACAATAAACACAAACACAAACACGGAGTCACGAAATTATACACGATTTACACAAAAACGCGATAATCTCTTCCACATCGCGCCAGCGTGTTCACTGCTAGATTCGCCCCACTAGCTCTGCATCAGGTCAGAGTCTGAAAGGTTATTCCGAAAGTACTATGAGGGCGCGGATAACTAAAACTAGTTCACTAGCAACCGTAGTCCGAGCCGACGCATACCCCAGTAATGGGGTCTGCGGCCGCGTCTATCTCAATCACGGAAAGCCACCTCCAGTTTGGAGGTGGCACTTATAAGTAACATATGCGCCCGATATATACAATCATATTGCATGGAACTTACTTTAATCTGAACTTGAATCATTTATCTACGTGCATGCACGCTATGATGACCTGGTAGCGGCCACAACATAAGAATATATCAAGTTGTTTACCTAATGGTAAATATAAACATCCAAAGAAAATGTTCTGTCTTCATTCACATTTGTCAACCAATGAAAATCACTTCCGGTTACTTCGGCTATTCCCGATGTTCAACAGGAAACATGGTAGGTAGCAGAGCATATAAATCACCTATATGCCTATATAAATCACCTATATAAATCACCTATATGGTGATTTATATGCTCTGTAGGTAGTCTGTGGGTAGTCCGCGCCATCTATTATTATTTTGAATTATTATTTCCGAGTGAACCCGAGGCTACCGGAAGTGAATTTCATTGGTCGATCGAAAAATCTGTCAAATGTGGCCAAAAATATCGAAGTTACTCTGACTAGGATGAATTATTGCATGAAAACAAAGTTCTGAAACGGAACAGTACTTTCGGAATAACCTTGTCAAGACTTCCTGATCCTCAGATGCAAGAGCTAGCGTGGGCGCGAATCTAGCAGTGAACACGCATGGCGCCGACTGTGCGAAGAGCATATATCGCCTTTTTGTGTAAAATCAGTGTATAATTCCAGTGACTTCATCTCTCTCA